TGGGGGGAATGGAACTTACTGAGCTCAGCCTGGAGTTTGTCTAAAAATAAAACAAAAGAAATGAGTCAATATCACATTATCTTGCAGAAGAGAAGTGAGTCAAAAAGACCTTAATGGAGGGAAGTTACAATCCTTAGAATCAGCTTGGAGGCTACAGCAGCAGGCAGACACCTGAACCTAGGCTGACCAGACAGCAAATGTGAAAAATCAGGACGGAGGTGAGGGGTAATAGCAGCCTACATAAGAAAATGACCCCAAAATTGGGACTGTCCCTATAAAATCGGGACATCTGGTCACCCTACCTGAACCTCCGAGTAACAAAGGAATCAGCAAGGGGAGAAATACAGTAACCCCACCCGGCCACCTGCCAGGTGCAGGAGGTTGTAAGAGCCAAACAGGGCTCCCTCTGCAAATGGAAAATATTAACCCTGTGCAGCCAGCAGAAAGGTGCATACAGTACATCGGGCGAAGTGCATAATGGGAATTAGGAGACTAAATGGAATTAGCAGAGTGAACAGCCAGAGATATAAAACAAATACCAGGGAATTATTTCAGTCCATCAGAATCAGGAAGCCTGTGAGAGAATCGGTGGGTCCCCTGGATCCACAGAGGAGGAAAGGGAGCAAGGACTGACTCATTTCTTTGCATCAGTTTTCACCACAGAGGTTGCTGGGGAGAGACCTGCCCTGGAGCTGCTCTGTTCAGAAAATAAAGATCAGGGATCGAGGCGTGAAGAGGTGATATTGGAACAAACTGACAAACTAAAGAGCCAGCAGCCACCTAGAGCAGGTAAGACCCCTGCCAGATGGAAAATCCCAGGAGCTCTCAAATGACATCACATGATATGGCTGAACTGCTAACAATAATATGCATCTCTCATTAAAATCAGCTTCACTTCTGGAGAATCGGAGGGTTGGGAATGTTGTAGCCAACTTTAAAATTTTGGTAGGAGTAATCCTGAGAACTACAGCCCAGTGAGCGTTACGGCACTGCCTGCTACACTGGTTGAAATAAGAACTAAAAGAGAATTCTAAACCAGCTCTATGAGAAGGATAGGATAAGGTCTGACTAGCAGAGCTGGAAAGGAAACTTGTGTCCCACTAATCTACTAAATTGCTTTAAGTACGTCAGTAAAATAGTGCACAAAGGAGAACCCATTGGCATAATTTATGTAGATTTTCAAAAAGCCTTTAACAAAATTCCTCACAAAAGGTTATTAACTAATCTGAGACATCATGGTGTAAGGGGTAAAGTATTGTCCTGGATCAGAAACCAGCTCAAAGACAGAAAACAAAGAGCAAGAATAAATGGTAAAAATTTAC